GTGTTTGTGGTTGTGTTTGTGGTTGTAGAAGATATGCCAGATAGAACGACAGATAGTATGCCAGACAAAATGCCAGATAGTATGCCAGACAGTATGCCAGATAGTATGTCAGATAGAATGGCAGATTGAATGGCAGATAGTATGCTTCAACACACAACCACAAACACAACCACAAGCTCACAACCACAAACACAACCACACACACAAATACAAACACATAACCACAAGCACACAGCCACAAACACAACCACAAACACGCAACCACAACCACAACCACAAACACAACAACAAACACAACCACAAACATAACAAACACACACCCACAAAGACACAACAATCGACACACAACCACAGACACACAACCACAAACACTCAACCACAAACACACAACCACAACAACAAGACCACAAAGACACAACCACAAACGCACAATCACAAACACAACCACAAACATAACAACAAGCGCACACCCAGAATCACACAACAATAGACACACAACCACAAACACAACCACAAACACACAACCACAACACACAACCACAACAACACAACCACAAAGACACAACCACACACACAACCACAAACACACAACCACAAACACACAACCACAAACACAACCAGAAACACAACCACACACACACACAACCACAAACATAACAACAAACACACAACCACAAAGACACAACAATAAACACACAACCACAAACACAACCACAAACACACAACTACAAACACAACCACAAACACATCCACAAACACACAACCACAAACACACAACCACAAACACAACCACAAACACACAACCACAACACACAAACAAAAACACAACCACAAACACACAACCACAAACACACAACCACAAACACGCAACCACAACAACACGACCACAAAGACACAACCACAAACGTACAGCCACAAGCACAACCGCAAACACATCCACAAACACACAATCACAAACACACAGCCACAAGCACACAATCACAAACACAACCACAACCACAACACAGCACACAGCCACAACCACAACACACAACCGCAGCACACAACCCGAGGACCCACAAGCAAAATCGAGAACTACAATACTCACGACCATGGCAACATGCTCCTCACTATGGCATCAAGTCAAATGATTGAAATGTCATGGTGGGGATCACTCGAAGTAAAGTATTTTTTTGTTTTTTGGGTTATTGTTTTTAGGCATTCCCTCTAAATTGGGATAGGCTTGGATCTCACAAAATTGATCAAAAAATAGCTCAAAACCTCAATTTTGGAGGATTTTGCAAGAAATCACTGTAAAACACAGTGTTTTGCATGAAAAACATCTCCCAGGAGCACCCGTTCTGTTAAATTAAGGATCTACAAGTATGCGATGTGTAAACAATTCCACTGTTCATTACATGGCTTATCCGGTGTCTAAGACACGCATGTCGGAAGCAATCCAAACTCACCGGATCGTCCTGATCCGCAGCGTAACCTGCAGCGGCGAGGAAGAGCTGCGCACCGCCGCGGAGTTGTAGCTTGACGAAGCACAGCGCTTGACGTGCCAGAAAACCTCTGAAATCGAGTTGATTTGGACGTTGCAGAAATGCAAATAAGAAGTTTTGTTGCTTGGGGCGTGATATCAAATGACTCTAGCCAGAAGGTGATATAGTTGCAATCAGATTTCTAGTGGATGGGGTATGATCGGCCATATGCGTGGCTCGCGTCTTAACAACGGGAAACATTAGCTGTGACATGCTGTGACTGACCAAAAAAGATGGTGAGAAAGACCGACCCACAGTTCCTCAAGTTTAGATGACCCAGCAAATTGAATTCATACATCTCTTTGATCACAGAAATCTGTATGCCAAATTCTTTATTGGAGCGACAGGACGGTCAGGTTGTATGACTGCAGTGCAGCCCGGCGCAGTCACCGAAGCGTGTCCGGTCATATGAGTCAGGCGAGTCTTCCGGTGATCGCCAGGGGTGAGGGCTGGCAGGAGGAGACGTATTGAGGTGACCACTGTTATTTAGACACACACAAATACACTTGGGTATATGTATAAAGTTGCTTTGGACATGCTTTGAGGTGCTTTCCCGAAGCCAGCTTTTGGATCTCCTGGTTGCCAGTTCTTTTTGTTGCAAGTGGTTTGATCAAGATGTTTCACAGGTTTACAGTAGATGGTACAACTCCCCATTGGAGTGATGGGGCTAATCATGGGAGTAGTGCCAAGTTGCGTCATCTACTTTGGGTGTAGCTTTACTCCCAATCGATGATCAGTTAACAAGATATAGAACCTGGGAAGGAAAGGAGGAAAGGAATACGATGCTTACTTTTACACCATGCATTGCATGGACAATGGAAGTTGGACCCCAGAACACTTTGGGTGATTGCAATCTCAAAGGACACGACCAAGCTTCAATATGCGAGAGCACAGGCAACAGCGACACATCACCGAAACATTTCCTGGCCCAACTTTTGGCAATGTCAAGTTTTAATCCACTCGGGACACCACTGATTCGTTTGCATCGACAACTAAAAAGGCAGTATTTTTTGCAGGCAAGTTATATATACAAAACCCCATATAATAACCTGTGATGACTATGCTTATTACAAGCTAAGATTTTCAGGGATCCAGATGCACTTGTAGTAGGATCCCGAAAAGGTCCTGCTTTGTGAGGTATCAGCTGGAGCATCAGAAGTCTTGTGAGGTTGCCGAACTTCAGTCTCAGGAGCAGGGGTCGGGCATGGCCAATCGTGACTCGACAAAGCGAGATGAAACCCAGAAACCATGACGCCCGCGGGGTCGGATCAAGCTGGTTCAGGGTTATATAGGCTCAAAACAAACCAGGAGCTCAAGGATTACCCCAGTTCCCACTTAGGTTTAATCACATAATATGACAATCTGTTCCATCAATCTGAGGTCCACCTGAAACTTGGGCATGTCTTTTGGCTGTGCGCCTTTGTGCGAAACGATGGACGCCGGCGAAATGACGATGTTCCTTCGGAGGCCAGGCGTCCGTTTGGATGGTTGGTCACCGCCACCATGTAGGTCATGTAAATGCGTGAGTGTGTGTGTGTATGTGTATGTGTCTGTTTGGAAGAAGTAGCTGCGAATTAGCTGCCGACGTTCCGGAACGTAGCTGCAGTAGCGGCAGTAGTAGCTGCAGTATGTTCAATAGAACCCGCATAATAGAGGGATGCGCGTGTGGTAAAGACCAGTGGCTTCAGGTTCCAATATTTGTGTGAATGACCCATCCCTCCATCTCCCAGCTCTCCACCCAGATCCGAAACCGAAAGGAGCAGTCGACTCGACGACAACTGATCTTCACAGAAATGGAGGCGACTTGACTTTTTTCCGACAGGAGAAATCATTTGATCTCAGTGGAGGTGTCTAATGGATTCCTCATCCTGCGAAGAACAAGGTCGGCAGGCAGTTGGGCCCAGACCTAACCACCAAAGACGTGTCAGACATGTCCAAAGGACCTAGGACCCAGGCGCAATTGTTGCTTGCTAGGGGAGGTTTGCCTTTTCGCCAGTCCTTCACGGAACTGCGGAAGATGATGTTTGGGCTGAAAGTCTGGGTTATGGTGTGCTGGCTCAGACCATGAGAGCTGAGCTGACTGCTGATTGAAGGAGATGACCAGAACAAGAAGACACTGGAATCGCCCATGTCTAGATCTCCATGGTCATGCCCACATGGGCAGATCTGGTCCTGAAAGGAAATTATTGTTACGTCACCTCAGAATAAAAGAAGAATCGATTTGAGGGATGAATAGCCTTCAGCAAGTGGGAAATTGTGAATCTGTTCACGCTTCATATTCAGATGATTCCGATATATTCACCTCCCAACCTGAACCTCAGTTCCATCTCCCAAGATTCCATGGCGCCAGCGCCCCTCCTGTCACCGTCCGAGACTGCGTGCGCCGGTGCGTCGTGGCCCGCCGCGTGCTCCGGCGCCTGTTGGAGGCGCTCACGGCGAAGCTGTCCAGGCTCAGGCGGAGTGGCGCCCTGGTGTGTTGCGGTCCAGGCCAGATGGAAACCAAATCACCCGAAATCCCAAGTTTGGGGGGGGGCTTTGGCCTTCTTGGTGGTGTCACACACCTTTTTGACTTACGGATGGCCCTTGCCTCGAGTTGGGCGCCGCCGCCCTGCGTATCTCTGTGTGTATCTCTGAAAAAGGTCTGACCAACAGCGACTCCTCCAAGCGGCACCTGCGGGATCCTGCGGGTCGGACCTCAACATATTTGAGCCATGTGACCAATAAGCATGATTTGTTGGGTATTTGAACATGGGATGAAGGACCATGGGAGGAACAAATAATGGTTCAGTGGTGAACCTGGCGGTGCAGGAAGATGCTTTGTTTTTTCTTGTTGGTTCTTTTGGGTGAAGTTTTCGACATGGACTACGACATGGGACATCTAGAGAGAAGGTTCTAGCAATCCATTGGATGCCTCGCAGATCATTTCCAGATGGATGCCTTCTGCGTCAACATGTGTGAGTGTGTGCGTGTGCGCATTGTGCCAACATGTGGATCGCCAAACGCCAGCTTTGTTTTGCCATGCGACGACGGAAGATTTGGGAAGTGTGGAAAGTATCCCGTTCTTTCTATATACTCCGAGTCACAAACATGGAAGTGGAAAACCACCTGTTTTAACACCTGTTGGTAGAGAAACATGGTCATCCAAACACGGGGCCATGCTATCCACATCACCATGATCGTTTCCATGATTTTCCATGATTGTTTCAGATCTGGAATCGTTTCCATGTGGTGTCGGTGCTCACCATCGCACCACGTTCGTGTCGACTTCGCCTGGGTCAGACCCATCGGTCGGTGCCCGATGTAAACCGCGCCGAGCGGCGAAGCACCGCACCCCGATCCGCAGCGAGCTGTGGCCATAAAATGATAGAAATGGCCCATGCGTCGAGGCCAAATCTCATGCGTAGATGTCCAGAGATTCAGCAGACTGTTCTTGCATGTCCCAAGCCGTCCTAGACGTCCTTTTTCTGCTGGGGTTGGACCAGGAAGGAGTATGAGCTGGAGAAGCAAGCGCTGAGCAAGCTGCAACAGGAGGTGGCTTGAGCGTACTCAGGTGGTCGGTCCGCATCGACAGGTACCAGACTCTGTGGGCCAATGGGGAAACGGTGGAAATAATCTATATGTTATTTGTAGCTGTGCGTCAGATGGCAAAAAGGGTTCAAAATCTCGACCGATCAGGATGGTCATTGGCATGATAGATCATGATAGATCTAGACCATGTGGGGAGACTAAACAACCAGAAAGAGCCATGTACAGAGTTTGGATACAGTCACAGTTGTGACAATGCACCGTTGGAAAATGTACTGTACCAAATATGTTATAACAGTTTTGACAGAGTGTACTTGTGGATATACTGTAGCGTATCCTGCACACAACTAATCAGGATAGTAACAGGATGCATATCAATAATCAGGATATGTAGACATGTCATGTAACAGATGCACTTTGTTGATTCAATGAATTCATCATGTCATCCTTGGGAGATACACCTCAGGGCCACCGGGTTGGGTGGTGGCGGAAGCACCGTTGTGCCGCAGGTGGCGCAAATGGAGCACCAGAAACGCGTCGCAGCACTCCAGGCGCGGACCACACGGGCCTGACTACCCGGTGACTCCAGATCGGGTTAAACATCAAGTTTCTTAAGGATCATTGAAAAGTTATTTTAGTAAAGAAACAGCAGAAGCTCACTGGAAGACTGGGTTTGCAAGCTGTGGCTCAATGTTTGGGGCGAAACTTGCAGCAGTATGCCTTGACACAGTTGTGGCACATCTATAATATCAGTTTGCTGTGCTCAAAAATGTCCGTAGCCGGACCCATGGGAATTGAATCAACACGCGATAAGAGATGACACATGTTAATGTTCGATAGCCTCTCTTTTTTGAAACTCACCGGAACTTCGATTGCTTCTTGACACCACAACAGACCACCCAAGCGAGTGAAAGTCACCTCACTCGGTGAAACAATAGACTATCAGTTGACCAGTTCCTTTAGGGGATGGTTCAAATCACATCAAGTCACCACCCAGAAAATCTTCGGTATTGGCTCGGATGACTCAGAAATGTTTGTACGGCCTCTGGTTCTTTTGTGCGCCTCCCTTCTCAGATCGCTGACCTGCCTGAGATGGAAGAGTGGGGGAAGCAGTTGGAGGTGCCGGCGATGTCGCGACTCGCCCCGCGGATTTTCTCACATACGGGTGAAGGAGGAGCTTCCATTTCTGGATCGAACAAACACTCTTTTTTTGTCCCAAACAAGGAATGTAATGTATATAGGTCTATATATAGGTCACAGCACATACTGGCCAAGAACTGAAAGTCAACGGATTTGATGACCGAGAAAAGACCGCCCTGGTGGTTGCTTTTGGGACTTCAGGGGTGACACTGTGACTCCGATCAACTCTGTGGAGAAACCGACCATTTAAAGTCACGAGGATCCTGAAAAGCAGGAAAAAATAACTCTGTCGTATGTGTGTGTGTGTGTGTCCTTTTCTTGTTATGTTTGTCGCGTTTGGTGTCTTTTTCTAAGACTGCACACATTGTTCTACTATATACAGGCGACACAAGGACGCCACTTGTCCCTTTGACTTTAACAGCCTCGCCACTTCCACAAAAGAATACCATTGCATATCATCGACGATGTTCCTTGGAGCTCGGTGAAGATCCACTAGTCTTTGGAACCATCCGCCAAGTGTGGGAACCACTCCAAGTGTGGCGACGTCCAGGGGGGCCACGTCCAGAAGCTCAACAGCTCGACGTCCGACAGAGTTCAGGACTCCACAAAGCAACTAATGGATGCTGTATCACCAATCCAGAAATGACAAGTCTGCAACGGTGATTGCCTTATCATTATATCATTATATAGTATACTCTATATATATATAATATATTTTATACAAAATATGTTTTTTGGTTGTCATTTTCTATTTAATCTTTAAGGATCCAAATCCTTCTCGTGCCTCAGAGGGCATGTGGATCATTGTCTGATCCATACCGGGTGCCCGGTCGGGTCTCATGACCTCCAGCGACCTGAGACACGTGGCCCGACCTCGGGAGGCGAAGCGAGCCCGTCTTCAAGAAGAGATGACGGTCCTTCTGGTGGCTCGGATCCAACGAGAGCTAAAACCATGCGGTGTACGCATACGAAGACCCAGGTGAATTGGAAGAATCAGACCGCCGAATGATCAGAATGTACGGATACGAATGTATGTGTGTACCTTGGTTTGCTACGAAGAGCTTTATTAATTTAGAGTTATAGTGCAATATATATTATATATGTACATAGAATATATGTATATGTAACAGTTGTGGAAGATCTCCATGTTCTTCAAGTGTTATTGTTTTGACATCATATTACATGTGTCCCCACTTTCATACCTCTTAAATATCTCTGAGGACAGACCATCAAGCACAAGCACAATGGATCGACGTTCAAAGTCTTCAACCTTTCATGTTGAACGATTTGGACTTAGAGGGAAAGCCCCTCAGCCACCTGCCCACCATTGATTCACCAAGTCATCGGCGGTTGCAGTCGGCGGTTTCACCCACGGTCCCGCCGGGCACGAAATCAGGCACACGGCCGTCCGAGCACTCGCCGTGGTAGCAGCAAGGGCAGCAGCAAGACCAGGAGACCGTGCCCGGCTGAGCGTTTGAGGTGTTTGTAGCACCTGGGGGGG